ATGTATGAAGGCAGCAGACCAAGAAGTGATTTAAAGATGAAAATGTATCAGAGGGAGAGTCTATGATGACCAGTTAACCAGTGAGTACAGGGTGCAGTGGTGGGTACGGTAGTTACAGCCAGTCATGAATCAATGCACCGTGATAGACAGCATCCAACATCTGCAGGGTTCTTGTAGGAGCATTCATGTAAATAATGTCATCGTAATCAATGGAGGGAAGGAAAGTTGCAGTTACCATGCGTTTCCTAACATTCAGAGTTAGACAGGATCTATTTCTGCAAAAGAAACCCAGTTTAACTTTCAGTTTATTTACCAAGTTTTCCACGTGGAGCTTAAAAGAGAGATGCAAATCGACCAAGATGGTTGGATTGTAAAAGCAGCAAGTTTCCTAATAACACACCTGGAAAACCTTGAGATGGAAGTGCCCAAGGAGGGTCCTAATGACATTCCATAACAGCCTCCGTTGACTTCTTTGCTTGTGAAAGAGCAGCAGCTCGACACACCTTATCTCTAAAACTTTCAGCCAACCTGTGGAGGAAGCTCACTTCGGCCACTTGCATTTGAGACTTTGTTCTTTTGATGATGATGATGATTGTGATCATAGTTGAAGGTAAACCAGTAAATCAAAAACTTTACCTTTCGGCTTAGCTTTATTTTTTTTCACCACAATAGACCAAAGCAACGCCCTCTTTACTGAGGACTAAACCCCGATCCATCAACTCATGTCCCCCTCTATTGTACCATCACTCGTGAGCTTGACCTCCGCTTGAGCCAGAGACTTCACTCATTCACTTGTATCAGAGAATACAGTAAAATAATATATGTTTATGGTATAAACACAAATGGGACTCAGGAAGACTGAAACAGAAGACAGCTGAACAAATAAAAAGGCAGTGTCCCTGAAATTATGGTGTTGGAAAAATTAGCAAGAAAATAAATAAAAGAAATGAGTTCCAGAGGAATAAACTAAGCAAGCCTGGCTTTTCTCATTTTCTCTACGTTACTGCTGGCATGGCAAGCCTGTTCCTGAGCTCAACTCCAGAGCTCCACAGTAGCAACAAAATTATGACAGCATTTGGTGTGGTGGAGCAGGGTGTAGGCCTTCCATCTTTTTTTTGTAGATGTGGAAAGTGTCTGAAATCCTAGCAGGGAATGAACAGAAATTTAAAGCATCACATTGGGTGGGGTCGTAACCACAGCAGCTCAGGGTGCAGAGGGGTCATTCCTTCTGAATGGAAACTTGTCCCCGTGGTACAGTCTGGATTGCTCACACACATACACACACACACACACACACACACACACACACGCACACAGGCTTTTGAATGTTGCGTTGAAGTCAAATGTGAAAACTGTAAATCTCTCATCTGTTCTTTGTGCTTTTATTATCTTGTTTTGTTCTGTCATATGTCCTGTATTATTGTTTGTGCATTCCTGTTTTGGTGACGATTGTTTTTATTCTTTTGTGGGCTCCTCTACTGCTAACCTTGTCACTGGTGCCAGACTTTAACTTCATTTGCAGTAACATTTGTGAAGTTTCACACAGATCTGGAACGATATCTGTAAACATCTGCAATACAGACTGCAGTTACAAAGAACACAAATGTGGTTTCTCCTTCTGAATTGAGAAAATCTAATCCATTTCAGTAAACATGATTTAATTTTAATGTACCTTGGCAGCTTTATAAAACTTTTCCTGTGGAGCTTATGTGGTCTCTTTTATCAGAGGTCTTGATGTGTCAGACTCTAAAAGCAACTGGGCGGCAGACGTTTACTGCTTGGTTTCACAATTTTATGTACCGTATTTTTCGCCGTACACATTGCACCGCTGTATAAGTTGCATCAGTCTAAATATGTCTAATAAAGTGGAGGTAAAAAAAACATAAATATGTCCCTTCACCGTATAAGTCGCATCTATTATGCGTCACCGCTGACACGTCACATTTGTCATGCGCCAGTGATGACAACCCGAAAATGTGGGCCGGTGTTGTGCCAAAAATCAGTTGGCAGCCAAATGGCGGCCACGGGAGAGTACATGGGAGGACTTTAACAAGGATTTAACAAGATTAGCACTTAAAAACAATTATTTGTTTGCTCAAAATTATATCAAAGGTGTGTCTTAGTCTAACTTTTCCTTAATAAAAGCACTTTGACGGTCAAATCAGCTTTATTTCAAAAGCCGATACGTGGAAGTAGGAGAGCGCAAATGGACAACTTTGGTCATTTATTCAAAATTTCACAAGATAACCACCTAAAAACAATTATATGTTTGCTCGACTTTATAACAAAGGTGTGTCTCACTTGAAGTTTTACTAATTAAATGCACTTCAATGGGCAAATTAGGTGAATTTTGCCAGGGCGGCGCAGCAAAATGCAGCTGATTTGATGATTGCTCCAGGCATGATCTCGGAGCTGGACGATGGTGGCAGGGAATGGCAAGCCGATTGTGTCATTAATAGCCAAGTTTACCTATTACATGACACAACGGCATGCCATACTTCTCAAGTGCCATCTAGCGGCTGAAAATGGTAGTGTTCAATATTTTCAATGTCAGAATGAATGAAAACGGTCATATCTCAGCCAAAAATTGATTTATAAATATGGGGAAAAAACATAAATAAGTTGCTTCAGTGTATAAGTCGCAGGGCATGCAAATTATGCAAAAAAACACAACTAATAGGCTGGAAAATGCGGTACTAAGTAATTTTAAGTTCAGACATCCACACTGAAACTTTTCAGCGAGGAGGAATAAAAGGTTCCTCCAGAGTAACACTAAGCACATGTACATGTGTCACCCAAATGACCTGAAGGAAACCACACTGAATCATCTCAATGTGGCTTTTTATCTCTTCTCTTTCAACTTTGTTGGAATCTTTAACATATTTTTCGTACAAATCCTCCAGATTAAAGTATGTTAATAGCTGTAGCTGGTGTGTGTTGTGGGAGGAACCGATGCTCTTAAAGCAGCACATTTATCCGGTGTGATTTTGGTGCTGGAGAACGTTTCACTGAATTGATGAGTTCAAGTTGAAAACCCACAATGAGTCACAGCTTCTGAAACACTGTGTCACTTTCTTTTATTTCACTTACAGCCTGAAGCCCATAACAACTCCTCAGGAGAGAAAAAACAAAGTAGTTTTCAGCTCATGTTGCTGGTGGAAAAATAATAAGTGGGAATATTATCTCCTGCTTTGTCCTCAGTGATATCCTGAATGGTTCGGCGGTGTGTGTTTATCGAATGGAGGATGTGGTTCGAGCTTTTAAAGGAAACTTTCTCCACAAAGAGGGGCCTCAGTATAAATGGGCAGAATTTACGGGGAAAGTGCCGTACCCACGACCAGGAACTGTAAGTTTAAACTTAACAATTTTTCATTGTGTATCATCTTTAAACAGCGTTTAAAAGTTAGTTAGATGCTTATGTAACACATTAAAATCCTTACTCCCCCTCTTTTTATTCTTAGTGTCCAAGCAGCACTTATGGAAGCTACAGCTCAACCAGAGAATATCCTGACGACGTCATTTTCTTCAGCAGGACTCATCCTCTGCTGCAGGTTCAGCTGATCTTTCATTTTAATCAGTTGCCTTAATTAGACCCTGCACTATTTTACTCTGAGCCAAGTAATATTTCTTTCTATTTTAGCCCATTCTTTTACAAAATGATGAAATTAAATTAGCCCAGCCAGGACAGTCTTTTTTTTTTTTTTTTTCATATTAGATGTAGACAGCATATTTGGCTGAGAAGTAGGAATCAAAAACTTCATATTTTATATACTTTATACTTTATTAAACACAACTTTTCTTCAGGAACATGTGCTGCCACTGGGAGAGCGTCCCCTCCTGGTCAGAGTAGGCGTTCACTACAAGTTTAGCAAGCTGCTGGTGGACAGAGTGGAGGCTGTAGACAGCACGTATGACGTCCTGTTCATCGGCACAGGTAGACAGAAAGCAGATTATCTTTTTTCAAATCCAAGGTCCTTAGTGTAAACATTAATAAATGTTTTAAATTTTTATTATTTTTTTATTTCTCAGACTCGGGACTTGTGCTGAAGGCCATCCATCTGCCCAGAGACCATGGTCAGACTCAGGAGGTCACTCTGGAGCAGCTGCAGGTCTTTCAGGTACAGGACTGTTTCTGTTAAAACACATATGTGTTACCATGTTAAATATAGGGTTGTTGTTTTTTTTTTACAGCTTCTTATTATGCAAATCATGTTCAGAATTTTATTGCAAACTCAAGTTTTGCGTGTTTGTTTTTGGGGTCATCCTTACAAACATCAGCAAATCAACTCTTTGCACTACTTTTCTGTAAAGACATAATGCTCAGCAGACGTTTCCAATCAGCCCGCGCTTCGAAATATAAATACAGTCATGATGTGATGAATTCCATATCTGATCCTACCATATGCAAAGAATAGACACCGCAGGCTAAAGGACCACAGCACGCATTGCTTATGTTGGAAATTCTGAGCAATAAAGCAAAGCATGCACCATTTCTGCCAAATACTAAAACACTGCTATGCTCTGTTAAACGTTAGAGCACAGAAACATGGTGAAATCTCACTGCAATGTTGTCATTTACCTGCTATAAATACATACTAACACACAGCAACTATATATAAAACATCCTTTAGTTCAACATTTCAGTTAAAGATATATACAAAATTAAATGAATTA